TAAAAAAGTATCACCACTATACGTTTTTGAAGATAAACGATGTTATAAAAGGATCCCTATCTTTTATAAGAATAAAGTACATTTCGTGGATACACTTTCACGAAGAACCTATTTCTGGGATACCGCAGTCCCATGTGGATCAGAAAATAGCCACAATGTAGTACAACTAAACCCTGATGAAAACAAATATTATCTTCTCACTCCATATCCCACATTAATGCAATCACTCAAAAAATTTTCACCAGAAAGCATTCGCGCTATTGCTCGAAACCCAAATATAGACTTACAATCAATAGGAATCTATTCAAAATCAGATATTCAACATCACATTAGAACACAACAATTCCAAGAATTATTAACACAAATGGACACTATACAAAGACAATCAATAGACCAAAATTTACGCAAACTTGCAGAAACCGCAGGATTTGCAGATATCTACACCCAAGACTATAGCGGATATTTTAAAGACATTAAAGATTATATATATCTAAACGGCGAAAAATACCGTCCCCAAGATATATCACCAATTAACATTTTTAGCTTTGTTACACTCAAAAATGAGATCCTAGATTTTCTAGGATGGCCCTACTGCATCTTAGAAAAATTGACTATTTTATACGCAATGTTTAACTTTATTGGATTTCTTTTCTCACTCTTAAAAGGAATCTACAACACATGTGCTATACACACACAAGTAAACAGACAAGCAAGCGTAGCACGCATACTCTTTGCAGGATTTTTTGGAATCTTTTCTACATCTATAAACAAAATTCTTTTAGACGCACAAATAAAAGAATATAACACAAAAATAACAACACGACAAAATACATACGACGAAGAACATAACAATGTCGACCCACAGCCAACGGCACCACAATTACCACCCCTACCAAATAACCATCCACTATCCCTAGTCCCACGAAATTTTAGAAATTTAGCAATCACACATAATCCAAACTTTAGACTCACCACATCACAAAGTCCCGTCCAACATATAATGACACATCAATCACAAGATGATAATACTTACGAACAAATTATTGAACAACCACATACCACCGCTTTTCAATCTCAAAATAATAATTTTTTTAGCCCACGATGAGCCGCCAACTTGGATCACTCCATCGATCAAATTCCCATCCAACCAACCTTACCTCTTCAATCCCAATAATACCACTTTTTGCTTTTCCGCCACCCGATTTTCCATCTAGCAATGTAACATCAGGCATGAATTCCGACACTAACTCACAAATTTCAGTTTTATACTCCATTTCACAGCTAAATAACCCGAATATTGAAACCCCCGACGAATTTGCCGACTCAGAACCATCTCCATCCAATAATTTTCATAACCCTTCTCAGTTTTCTCAACCTCCTTTTCAACCCATATTGTCAAATAACCCTGACCCCATCACTCCTACACCCTCTTATGCTTCCCAAGTTACCCCAACCTACTCCTCATACCATTCTGACCAATCATCTCCAGACACCCCCCGAATCTCCCCAGAGCTAGACAATTTTATTACCCTCCAACAACAACCCTACCACCTTAACACCCCGACCATAAACCAAATCTCCTCCACTACAAATTCATCCAATCCCCCTACACCCTCTTCAAATTATACTGAATCATTAGCACCATCATCCACATCAACTGAATCCTCACTCAACACTAATAGAGCTTACCGCACTTTTAAAAGAAAGTTCCCCAACCATCCTTTCCCAGCAAAACCAGGAACAGCCCGTGAATACATCAACCACCCCCAGCATACTAACACTAGAGAATTTTTAGCTATCACTTTACCCTCATTTCCACAATACACCTTAAACACCCCTCATGACGCTAACGAAACACGCAACTTTGTAGACGAATACGTTTTAATGCCCACTCTCTCTTGGACCTCATACTATCATTTCACTAACCCTCTTTGCTTACCTTTAACCAACACATCCATCGATATAGACCGAAACAAAGACATGCTATATCGACTAACTACACCACTCACCGCTAGACAATTTACTTACGTAGGATATAAAAAATCACTAAAAATACACACTGCACCTAGAGCTAATGAATATACACTAGAATACTACGATCACAACATCATCAGAGCTAACCAAGATCAATTCTTAGACGACGATCGCTTCGCTAACCCACAAATCACCGAGAAATTTTTCATCAAGACACCATATGTATTTACACTAAACATCTTCGACCGAAAGTTTGATCACATTATTTCAGAAGCACTAACAAGCACACAAGCGTACGAAAGTTTTAAAGAACGCTTCCAAATCTTTTCACTAACCTTTCATTTCCTTGCACCACACGAAAGAGATTTACACTGCTCACACGATATTATGTTGCGAACTAAACAAACACATACATACAGTTACTATCGTTTCATCCAAAATCACTTTGACCTCCACACACCCTCTAGACAACCACACCATCGCTTTCAATTCATCAATTCAAAATACACTTCACCGTATTTCCTAAATTTCACATATTGTATTAAAGATACTAACCTTCATGGTATTCTTCGTAACTATGACCCCATAACCCAAATGTACATTTTCTGCCCCATCACCAAGACCTTCAACGCCGAAGAATCCCGACCCTTCCTTATCCCGCACGAGTTTGTACAGCCTATAGAAATCCCCATTTTAGAATTCATCCACAACACTAAATTTAACCACAAATTATATAACTTAATCCAAAACACACCTTATGAGTTTGCAGTAGGCACTGAAGAACTAACCATTATTAAGGCACTTCAATTGCTTTGGCCACTGCTTCAAACTAAAAATATCATCCGCATCTTAGCTAAACTACTAACAACTTCAGAACTAGTTCACGATATCTTCCCCCACGGTTTTTTCCCCGACGACTAACAGGTAAGTATGAATTAAATGAATATTACTAACTAATTAAAATATTAAAAAACTCACCATTCTTTATTCATGTTTTCTTTAGATTTTTAGCCTTCATCTTCGATCATCTGAAAAATTCACAAAAGAAAAATAAAAAATAGCAAACTTCTTCAAAACTGTTTAAGACCCTTTTAACTTTTGCACCAACAATTAAATAAATATAATACCAATGCAGTAAATTAATTTATAAAATTTTCCCCCAAAGCAGTAAATCTACATATGATGAAAATTTGTATCTTAAAATTCCCCCATTACTAGCAGTAAATTTCCAAATTCTATGCAGTAAATTAATAAAATGCAATTGCAGTACTAACCTTTTGATATTTTCATTCATTCGCACAGAAATTCTATCCACACTCACACAGCTCGCCCACGAAGAATTGTTTAAAATAATGAATTTCAGTTTCAAGTTTTCACACTCAACAACTCTAACATATAATAACAAGTTTCAAACTTTCCTTTAACCCGGTTGGAAAGGAATCATATACTAAACAAAACTAACCAACGCAGCTTACTAAATACCACAAATCATAGAATAACAGCATGACTTAGAAAAAGAAACCAACGGTACCCAAACCGGATTAACCCAGTTTAAAACTGGATAATTTATTCTTTTGAAGACTATTATAAAGTCTAAGAAAGAAATAATAAAACACAAAAAAGTCGAAAGACAAACCCATACCACAAACAATTTGATTTTTGAAAAAAGGACACAACCAACAAAACATAAGTAAGACCACAACAAACTCAACATAAAACGTTGTCACATAACAGGACCCCTCACAAAAACCGCATGAAATCATACTCCCACACCTGGCCTAACCCACCAGGAAAGGACGTCCTGAGCATGCTCTATAGCCGGCCTAACCCACCGCGCTACATCCACGCTTTGTGACCACACCTTTATTTTTAATAAGAGCTACTCAAGGGTGAGTAACTCTTCAAAATAACCGAACTAAAACAAAAAGCTTTTGTGAAAACAACTAACTAAAATCATTATTAAAAAATATTAAACTAATAAAAGTTTTATAAAATGTAAAATCACATGATGCAATATATAGATCAGAATACAACACCAAGGACGAACATCAAAAGACAGGACGACCCCACTACACTCGAGAGAGAATGACCAACTACAATCGATATGCCGCTCACAATCACAACTCAAAGGATTTAGAGTACGACTTGACCTCGCAGAAAAGGACTTCATTGAACTAGACCAATGACCACCTCGATGTTCAAGTATACGTACAGATCCGAGTAACCAGGCATCCCCTCCACGCACAATCTCCACGCCATTCCCAAACTAGATCATACACAAAAGAAGTTCTCCACGCAGAACAGAAAAACCTGACATAGCAAACCATTCTGAAATCAGATTTGAGTTTGTTGCAAAGACGTAGTCGTTGTCACTAGAAGACACAACGTCTTATGTCTCTAACTCCAGCTTCCTGGAACTTCCCTAACAAAAGAGGAAACGGAAGAAAATTATGATGTTCGCCAAAAACAAACGTCCATCATCCATCCTTCGAATTGCAGAAGAACTATTCTAAAAAACTCTGTAAAACCCGGATGGGTGGAACCTGATCTAAACTATATTTTATGATTGGATAAATTAAATGTTTTACCAATGTAAAGTATTTAATATTAACCAATCATGATCCATCTAACTAACAACCCACTTATTTGTAAGTGCTGAAGTTACTTGTAATTTCAGCACCAGAGAGATTTGAATTTAACTTAGAAATTAGTTGGACTCTCCCGAGCACTTCAGCAGCCGCAATAAACCAGTATACCCTAGATCTATTGAGCCTAGCAGAGACTAGTTAAACAACCTGAGACTAGATAGTATAAGAGTAAGATTAGGATCGGTATTAGACTAAGAAGTTGCACGAATCTATCCGGCCGAAAATAAGATAGCGTGACGAGCAGACGGTGTACCCTATCCGAAATTACTCTATGAGTTATACACCCCAGTCATAACTCACTACGACAAGAACCCTCCATACAACTTTTTGTTGGGTTCTGCAATTGACAACTGCTTTTTCAAAAATTAGGCCACTTACCTTGGCTATTCTTTTCAATGCCATTTCCTGCTAAAGTTTGAGGTTTAAATTGAATAAGTACTGCGACCAAAATTTTCTAATATAAATTTCGAGGAAATGTTCGGAATTGAACACGAAATGGTAGAATTTTTTTGTGATAAGTCTTTACTTCAAGCTAAAATAGATTTTTATTTTGTTATTAAAAAGAGACTGATTACATGCAAATAATGTTTTTTATAATAGTGCTGAAAACTGTTAACCAACGATCGCATGGACGTGTCGTCATTTTCTCAAAGCAATACAAAGAGTTGTTTTTATCAGAGTGATAGAAAAATCTAGAAGCCATTCAATTAATAGTACATGGCAACATTATGGCTGAATATTTGGTATTTTGATCTTTGAGTTCAGATGAAATTTAATCATAAACATGATCAAAAAAACTAGATATAGCAAAATATAGCAAAAAAGTAAACATTGTTAAGTTAACTCAGTAAAACAGAAATAAAGATATTAATAGTGTAAACCTCTGTTCCAGCATGAAGTCCGCGGTTTTAGAGGATCGCGCCGCGGTCATTCCGCGACCCTCCAATCATCAACTGTACAGCGTTTTAAAGTCTCGGGCATTGCCTTGAACACTTGGTGTATCCCGGTCATCATAGTCTGCAAATGAGTCACCAAATGTCGCCTAATTTTGTTGAGAGGGCACGTCGGGGTCTTCCCATCATCTCAAACGCAAAATTATAAAAACTATTGAAAATGTTTCAGCAAAAAAGTTTGTTCTTGAGCTAGACTATCTGAAGCTCAATGAAAAAAAACTAAAATAAATTAAACTCAATAACTTCAGCGACCCGGACAGCATAGCTAACCAACGGAAACAACGCTAGAGTTAGTGGTGACGCTTAGACTAAACTTATTTCTACAAAAGATAATACAAGTTCATAATCTACTATTCATAATACGTTTTTCAAGTTGTCTGCTTGTGAATAGAAAAAATTAGGCTCTTTCTGCTTCTTGGGTATACATTGAAGCTCTGCCACACTTACAAAAATTGATGATTAAAATTGATTTTAGTTTCATCCTGAAATGGATTACAAACTTCTTCATCTAAATAAAGAGAAATCAAGGATTTCTGGCTATTTCCGGTCATAAAAGTTGCGAATTTATATCCCAATAAAATAACTGAAATTTGGCTTTTTCTGAAGGTTGCGGCCAGGACAAATCGGTGCAATTTTTTTTGTAATCAGGTTCAAGATTGTAAATTAGGGGACATCATGCAGAAGATAATGACCACGACTGGATTTCAAGCAAACTGTTGAAGAACCAGGCCAAAACTACCGGTTTTAGGAACAATTCAAAGGTTTTGGTATAGAAGTTGCGTACTTCCCCAACGAAAATAATATTTTAAGAGTTATTTTAAAATTTCGAGGTTTGGTCTGTCGAAATAGACAACGCGCAACGTGCAACAGTACCCAGCAAAACAAAATGGGAAATAACAGAAGTCCAAATCCCGAGGAAGAAATTGGTCCCATAACTTGAAAACGCAAAATTTTAATGCAACATTTGATGTTACGATTTCCAAAATTGGACTGTAAAAACTGTAATGTGATAGCTCGCAGAAAAAAGGCTTAAGATAGCAACAAACTTAGATGATAAAAGTGAAACCAATAGAAAAGCCTCACTTAAAAACTTTTTTGTTCCGACCAATCTCATTCATTGGCAAGGAAATATGTTTGAGTTGAGGTTTTCTGGTAATTTTGTCGACTCCAAACAAAGATCGAATAGTTCAAATAAATTATAAAAACTGCTCGAAGTATAACAAAAAATGCTCCGGCTATTCAAGATGAATCCGCCACTTATTGTAATATATCACCCACAAATGCTGTTGCAATTATAGCTGCAAAAACGCTATTGCAATCATCGGTGTAATAATTTATCTTATCCAAGCCTTGACAATCGTTATTTGGTTTCAAAAAAAATTTTATAATATGCTCTAGTACCATCAAAGAGCTTCTATGGGTTTTTCCTTTTTTCAGATTTAGCTGAAAATCTAACTAGAGGAAAGAGCGAAGGCAGAAAATAAACTCTTTTTCGGTCGCTTTAAGATTTTATTGTTCCATTTTTTGAAAGAAGTAATGGAATGTTTGTGATCGAGGTAGTTTTTTTTCGATAGAAATACTTCGGTTTTTCAGAATAAGCCAACTGACGGGTGGAAAATGTATTAAACGCTGTTCGAACGCTGTTCGAATGTATTAAACGCTGATATTTTGAATTTTGCTGTTCGATAGTGGAGTTTGCCCTCCTTTTAACAATGGAAATGCACTGAGCTGGAAAACAAATCACAAGTCAAATCGCAAAAAAAAACCAAAATTGTGCGTGAATATATTTTACAACTTTTTCCTGAAAGAAAAAAAAACAAAAAAAAATCTGCAAGACCTATAAAAGAGTACTCACTACCTTCATTACTCTTGAAAACTTTTATGAAAAAAAAAACAAAGTTAGAAATTATGCTTAATTAGTACCGGTTTCGGAGAAATCCCTCTGCACTGGAATGTTTTAAAATTGAAAAATCTTTTTGTAAAACCTCAAAATCAAAACATTTTTTTTCTACGTGTTGCTGTTTCTCATTAAGTTATAGGGCCTAAAATTTGCCTGTTTGCACAGTTTGGAACAAATAACACGTGAGATGTACCGTGCTATTAAAGCGATAGCGGAGGTTTTGTCCGTTTTAGAAATCGTTCCAAAATTTATTTGTTCAATTTAACATTTGCTAATTGCAAAATATAAAAACTTGTACTTTGTGAAAACTTGCGGGAGATAACTTTCAAAAAGCCAATCTAAAAAGAAACAGTTTTTTCATCCATTTTTGTTCATCATTCATTGAATCAAACTCTTTCCCATAGACCTCACAGACATTCAAATTACTCAGATTTTTGTCCTGATCGAGCGTTCTTTTTTAATATTTGGGTTTTGTCCACTGACAATCTAATGAACTTAAACAACGGAACTTCAAAAGAATTGAAGCTTAATTTCTTTGTTTTTCATCTGGTAATTGCATGCGAGTGAACAACAATAATTTTTTCTATCAATTTGCACAGGACTCTTAGAAACTGGAGTGTTCAAAATTTAAATTGTAATTAACATGAAAATTTAAATAATTTTTATACTTGAATTCTTGATTTTCAAAAAAGTGTTGGAAATTTTTTACCAACGATTGCATGATTGTGTCGTCATTTTTGTCAAACAAATACAAAGAGTTGTTCTTATCAGAGTGATAAAAGAGTCTAGAAGCTACTCAAATTGTGGTACATGGCAACATTTTGGCTCAAAATTTGATCTTTTGAACTTAGAAATCAGATGGAATTTTATCAAAGACGTGAACACAAGAACTAGATAAAGCAAAAAATTATCATCATTCAGTATAACAGAAATATTGATAATAATGGTAAAAACCTCTGTTCCAGTATAAAAACCGCGGTTTTAGAGCGCCGCGCCGCGATCATTCCACGATCCTCAAATCACTAAATGTACAGCTTTTTAAAGTGTCAGGCATAGCCTGGAACATTCAGCGTTTCCAGGTTGTGATAGGTTGAAAATGAGTCACCAAAGTTTCCCTTTTTTGAGAGAGTACGCCGGGGTCTTCCCATCATCTCAAACGCAAAATTATAAAAAACAATTGAAAATGTTTCAGCAAAAAAATTTGTTCTTGAGCTAGACTATCTCCTGCTCAAAGAAAAAATATCAAAAAAAAATTGAATGAATACCCTTTATAAACCCTGATACCACAGATAACAAACGGTAATCACCTATATGTTAAAGCTTAATTTAGTTCCTTTTCTTAAGTGGATTACAAACTTCCTCATCTCAGCTTTAGGCCGCAATCAAGGATTTCAGTCTAATTCCAGCCAAAAAACTAGCGAGCTTATATCCAAACAAAATAACTGGAATTTTGGTTTTTTCAGAATGACACGGCCGGTAAAAATTGGCGCATTTTTTTTGTAATCCGGTTCAAAATTGTAAATTAGGGGACATCATACAGACGATAATGTCCAGGACTGGATTTCAAGCAAACTGTTGAAGAACCAGGCCAAAACTACCGGTTTTAGCTACAATTCAAAGGTTTTGGTATAAAAATTGCGTACTTCCCCAACGAAAATAAAATTTTAAGAGTTATTTTAAAATTTCGAGGTTTGGTCTGTCGAAATAGACAACGCGCAACGTGCAACAGTACCCAGCAAAACAAAATGGGAAATGACAGAAGTCCAAATCCCGAGGAAGAAATTGGCCCCATAACTTGAAAACGCAAAAATTTAATGCAACATTTGATGTTACGATTTCCAAAATTGGCTGTAAAAACTGTAATTTGATAGCTCACAGAAAAAAGGCTTAAATAGCAACAAACTTAGATGATAAAAGTGAAACCATTAGAAAAGCCTCACTTAAAAATTTTTTGTTCCGACCAATCTTATTCAATGGCAAGGAACTATGATTGAGTAGAGTTTTTCTGGTAATTTTGTCGACTCCAAACAAAGGTCGAATAGTTCAAATAAATTATAAAAATTATTCGAAGTATAACAAAAAACGATCCAGCTATTTAAGATGAATCTGCCACCTATTTTAATATATCACACACAAATGCTATTGCAGTCATAGCTGCAAAAACGCTGTTGCAATTATCGTTGTAAAAATTTAACCTATTCAAGCCTTGACAACCGTGATTTGGTTTCAAAGAAATTTATAATATGCTTTAATAGCATCGAAGAGCTTCCATGAGTTTTTTCATTTTAGATTTAGCCGAAAATTTATCTTTAGGAAAGATCGAAGGCACAAGATCAACTATAACTTGATTGTTTTACCCTTTAAAAAACTTGACGAATGTTTTTATCTCTCATAAAATGTATTGCTGTACAAAGCTGAAAATCAAAACGATTTTTCACGTGCGACTTTTTCTCGTTAAGTTATAGAAAGTATGCCAATTTAGACAATTTGGGACAATTAACGAGATTTTATCCGTTTTAGAAATTGTTAGAAATTTTATTTGGTCTATTGTTCATTTTGCTAAGTGCAAAAAATAAAAATTTGTACTTTGTGTGTGGAATTAAAAACTTGCGGGAGATAACTTTCAAAACCAATCTAAGAAGAACCAGTTTTTTCATCTATTTTTGTTCATCATTCATTGAAGCAAACACTTTCCCATAGACCTAACAGGCAGTCGAAACATTCAGACTTTTGTCCTTATTGAGCAGTCTTTTTTATAGTATTTGGGTTTTTTTCAACTGACAATCTAAAGAACCTAAACAATTGACCTTTA